AAAAAAAATTTGTCAACATTTCACTAATCTATTTGATCCCCAATCTAGATCCAATAGTCTTTAATTTTGCAAATCACTACCTTGAGTGTGGACCTAATTGGTCGATCAAATATTGGTATATTAATAACATGTTTATCAAATATTATGTTTACTAATTAAGGCATTAGTAGAAATGAATAGTCAAAAAAATATATATCGTATTTTTGAACCAATTTGAGATTTTTGTTTCCTTTATGTTTTGAACTTATACTGATATTGATGTACTCAAACTATTATTGAAACTTATGCAAATTCTAAATACTTATTATTTATGAGTAACAAATATATGAATATGCTAACTCGTACTTGCTCGAGATATGACTCAACTTCATCACAGTTAAGCAATCCATACAATGTGATATCTCTCATCTCCTTATCAGTCAAATAAGGCATGGTGCTAGCACCTGCGGGTTCACTATTTCCACTTAATATAGATATATTTGAGGATTTACATGAATTTGCATGAACCATATTTTGAGATGCAGTACTTTTAGTTTATTGTGACATTGTCAAAGTAATACGAGCAAAATTACATTGTCTCGTACTTCAGATATGCTTCACAAATTGAGCCTTCAGGATGTGCTTTATTCTTAGCAGTCTTCTTATGTTTATTTAAATACCTCTTAAAACGATACATTTACTGATATTAAACAGGTTTACCTACTGTAACCTTATATGATATATGGTAAATGCATAGGTTGATGCCCCATAGAGTCAAAAAATATTGAAGGAAATATCTTATCAAGTTTACGTAATAAAAGGAATATGCCGCTCCATATGAATCAAATGCTCTGCATTTAATTTTGAATAGTATAAATTATTGAAGAAGATACTTAGCTCGATAAATGGCTTTAAAATTAGATCGGGCAAAAAACTAAAGGCAGTTGGTAGTATATATTGCATAAAGATATGACAGCCATGACTTTTCAATCCAAACAATCTCCCAAATCTTATATCAACATAACTACTAAAATTGAAGCTTTTGAGTTGAGAAGTTTTTTCATTTCCACCATCCTTGAACTCTAAAACTTTCCTCCAACAAATTTACTTTAACTCCATCATTGTTTTTATATTGTCTTTGTATTTAGCTTTAATTTTCATGACTGTATTGAATATATTATAAAAAATAATTTTCTCTATATGCATAGCATCCAAGTTATGTTTAGTCAAGTTTATTCTTCAATATGGTAAGGACCAAAAAATATACCAAAAAATATATTTTTTGGTCGAATTGTGATTGATACTATATACTGACAATTTGTAATCTGTTAATGTTGGAGAATCAACTATCTTGGGCATGAACATTACTCTTTCAAATATTTTTTCACTGCTTAAATTCAGAGGATACTGCAATATCATTTTATTTTTAGTAAATGCATCCTTATTTCGCATGAAAGAATGATCTGTAGGTAAGAACATATAGTGACAGTCGGCGGGAGGTGCTCATCATTCTTCATGTGACTGGGAGAAAAGTTGGAAATAGCAGGAGTGAAATGAGAAGGTGTTTGCAGAAGAAAAATAGGATCTTTTTCGGCGATATTTCCGGCGGCATTTCCGCCGGAAACTTTTCGTCGTGTTTAAGTAAGCCTATAAATTTTCTGCCAGAAGATCCGCCAGTAATTTATAGTGTATTTTTCGCTTGAAGTTAACACCAATTTTGGTAAAACATATGACTTTGCCGGCGTGTTTTCAGTTGGAAAAATACTGGCGGTTTATCCACCGGAAAGCCCGCCGCACAATTACCCGTAGAATATCCGTCGGTTACATCGCCGCTAATATCGACAGATATAATTCTGCCGGAAAGTTCGTCGGTATATGTAGTTTTTCTGTATTTTGGGTGATAGAATTATGCTTGGGCACTTTTTCATGTATAACTGTAAGAGCTTTTTTCTCTAAGTTTCTAAACTGCCAATTTCTATGCTATAGTTAAATAATGAGCTTAGTGGCTAATATAATAATTAAATAGTTTGCCTGGGGCCTCTAACCAAGCAATAATCAATTAAAATTTTGAAAAAGACGAGTAATTTGGCATCCAATTGGGTAATAAGCCAACTCGATTGTTAATGAGAAAACTTTTAAACATGTTTTAATTGGAACGAAACAATAATCAATGAATAACTCGCAAAGCTGAACTCAACACTGGAATGATTAAAAGTCTTCATTTAGAGTGAATGTACTTGAACTTGGTGTGAATTTCATTACACTTGAACTCAACGATGTAGTGAGTGAGCTTGGCATAAGAGTAAAAGTACCCTGGGGAGTTTGCGTGTTGATGTACATATAAATACATACACTAGAGTAATATGGAGACTTCTGATAAAATTTTCTGATGGCATAAGAGGCCTGTGATTGTTCTATATGGTTCCATTTGCTTGATGATAAATATATGAACGAGTTGATTGTAGATTTTTTCCATTCATTGTATAAAGTGAGCTTCTTAATGGTTGGCTTTAGTGTATGAGCTTGATGCGAAGTCACCTTAGTTGGGTTGTGCATTATGTCAGGCTTTAATCTTCACGGGGGTAACCACTTAGATTTGTTAGCTATAAGAGACACATGTTGCTCATCACGGATCTTGTTGCAAAAGGGGGAGTCGACATATAATGCTGTTTGCTAATTAATTGGTCTCGCCATCACCTTTACTTGGCCTCAGCTTATGTCAAACTTTCCAGTATTTGCTAGGGTAATTACTTAGACTCATTAGTTATAGGGGACTTGCACACTATTCATTGCAGATCTTATCATGAAGGGTGGAGTCGTGGGCCTATAGAGCTTGGTAGAATGATATGAGAATTTCACTAGTTATTAATGATATGTATTTGTGATTAATGGGATGAGATAGTTATTTTTTATTGGTTGTAAGTTTTAAGAAATTTATTTAATGGTTCGATTGGTTGTTCTATTTTTTGTCTCTTTCCATTATTATTTTTTTCATTCTTTCCTTTTTTTTGTGAGCTAGCTCGTGAAGTTTATTGCAGGATTTAAACATGACTCGCCAAAGTGACTCGACAGGGAATAAGGAGGCGATATCATTTGAGTGCAGATGTTCCTTCTACCTAGGGGCTTTAGCTTTCCTACAGGTCTTTATGCCTGGGGCCGTGACTCTCTTATAGGATGTAGTTTTTGTTGCTCTATAGCTTTGACCTGAATGAGAATTTGGCTGGCTCTTACCTCAGTCATCCTATGTTATTGCAGGACTGAGAGACTATGGTTAGTGAGTTTCATCCCAACTTTGGACACTCTCTTGGAACTATGGTTGAGTTGCCCGAAGGCTCGACGAGTATGAACTCATGTCGAGGATGTTATTGCTTAAATTGCGTGAGTTCCCTGAGTGTTAGAGTAGGGAAACTATGTTGAATAGGCTGGTTCTATTTATTTTTGCCTTACGAACATGCATGTTCCTCTGCATGGCTTGTTTACGAGGGCAAGTTCCTCAAGCCTCATCTTAATTTGTTGTGGATTCTAAGTTATTGACTTGCTTATATTAGATCCCCTCATTCAGAATTTGAAAAAGAATGGAAAAACAGACTAGAGTTTTTACCATATTTGAGAGAATTTTGAATAAAAAGTATTAGTATGACTATATGAGAACTCCCCTATGGGAAGAATATCATTGCATTCCATGTCCTTAATATATCCTTCCTCGAGTGTCTATAGTTGATAGGCTCATGAGCCAACTTCCTCTTTATGATGTAGGTGCCTTCCCATATTGATCCTAGTTTGCTAAGGACTAACTGGCGCACAACAACGTCTACCTTCATGAGGACTAGGTTGCCTAGCTGGAAGGTCTTTTTTTTTGACATGCAAGTTATAGTATTTGACCATTCTCCTCTTTAATTCTTCGTATTTGAGGACTACTAGAGCTCGAAGTTCTCCCAAAAGGTTGGCAGTTGTCTCTTGCATGATTTCTTCAAGTGCTATCTCCTTCTCAATTTTCATAACACACCTTAGGATAAGTGATGTTGCAGATCTTCTGATTAACTCTCCCCAATTATTAAGTTGTTGGTCAACTTTATTTTAAATTGTCCATGGTTGTTGACTTCAGTGTTTATTGCTCGTGCCTTCAAATGCTCTTAGATGGAATCTATCCAACTTGTTGTGCGGTTAGCCTCCATTTGCATGATTTTCTCTTCCTTAATTGTGGGTCTAGTATTCCTCAGTGTTGATCGTCCATCGGGGTTACCTACTTGGAGAGGAGGTCGACGAGTTGATTCTGCTTCCTAGGTATTTGAGTTATTTTAAGTACTTTAACTTGCTGATTTTCTGCTCGCTATTTTAGCAGCATTTTATCCCTCACTTCCTCCTTGCCATTTATCTGATTTACCATTAATTGTGAATCAGAATGCACAACTAGCTAAGTCGCACCCAACTATGCAGCATGTCACAGGACGAGTAATGCCTCATACTCTACTTAGTTATTTGTTACTTTTAACACTATGCTAGCAACTTGTGTGATGGTGATTCTTGTTAGTTTCCTCAGAATCATGCGCACACCGATTTCGTGGTCGCTAGAGGCTCTAACACTACTGTTGAGTCTTCGCTGCTTGCTTTTCACCTTGAGTATTTCAGCCGGCAAGTGCTGGGCCTTGATGGCCTCCCTTGGTGTGTAATTGATTAAGAACATACTTAGCTTATCGACCACTTAAGTAGCCTTCTAGAATGATCGAGCTTGGTGAACACGGCTTTGAGTGGATGATCAATAACAACTTGAATCAGATGTGCTTGGAAGTACGTTCGTAATTGTTTTGTCGAGGTCACTAGTGCCCATGCGAGTTTCTTTATGATGGAAACCTTTTCTCTGCTCCCTTAATGCTTTACTTACATAGTATATTAGTCATTGTTTCTTTTAATCTTCTCTTTTTAATACTGAACTGATGGCGTCCTCGCCCACTCCGAGGTAAAACGACAAATCTTCACATAGCCTTGGACTTTGGAGTAGAGGTGGCGAGGAGAGAAGAAGCTTCAATTGTAAGGCGACCTCGCACTCCTTACCGTAGGAGAATTTCCTTGCATTTTTGAACAACTTGAAGAATGATGAGCACCTCTCGCTTAGTTTGGAGATGAAGAGGTTTAACCTAATGACTCGGGAAATGAGTTGCTATACTTCCTTGCTTTCTTTGGAGACAACATCTTTAGGATTTCCCTCATCTTGTCTAGGTTCACATTGATATCCTCTGGGTGAGTAGGAAGCCTTAGAACTTGCTTAACCTTGCACCAAAGACACACTTTAGGGGATTAATCTCATATTATATCTCTTGAGGGTGGAAAATGTCTCCTTCAGATCTTGTATGTGTTTGTTTTGTGGCTTGCTCTTCACCAATAGATCATCCACACGCATCTTTATATTCTTTTTTATATGGTCTCGGAAGACTATCTCTCTGGTGTGTTGTCTAAGGAGGCTGCCGCTGGCGACAAGAAGAAGAAGAAGAAGAAGAAGAAGAAGAAGAAGGGAAGTGAGACCTACAAGATCTACAAAGGAGAAGAAGTCGAAAGCCGAGTACCCCCTTTAGAAAAACCTAACAATTCCCTTACTCTCGATCTCTCATGGAGCCCAAGGTCGAGAAGAAGCCCGTGGAGAAGAAGCCGTCCGCCGAGAAGCTGATAGAGGAGAAGGAGAAGAAGTCAGAAGACGAGAAGGCGCCGGTTGGAATGAAGCCGAAGGCTAAGAAGTGTCTGCCGTCTAAGGAGGCTGCTGCCGGCGACAAAAAGAAGAAGAAAAACAAGAAGGGAAGTGAGACCTACAAGATCTACATCTTTAAAGTCTTAAAGCAGGTTCATCCTGTTATCAGAATCTCGAGCAAAGCGATGAGCATCATGAATTCGTTCATTATTGATATTTTTGAGAAGCTCGCTCAGGAGACGTCTCGGCTTGCGCGTTATAAAAAGGAGCCGATGTTCACATCCAGGGAGATCCAGACTTCGGTTCACTTTGTGCTTCCTAGTGAGCTTGCTAAGCATTCTGATTCGGAGGGCACAAAGGCGGTTACCAAGTTTACCATCTCTTAAAAGATCGACTCTTTTGTGATTGTCGGTGCTTGATTATGAAAAAGCTAGTTTATATATCTTGTTCAAGATTGATATATAATACAAGGCTTCATTACCAAACTATATTAATTAAAGAACATTCTCCCTCTGGCACTCATAGATCCATGTCTCGACATTCAACTAATGTGATGCTATTGTTAATGCATGAAGATGTCATCTTCTATTCTATGAATTCGCTATTCACAATAATTGAATTTGAGATTGTGAGCGCTTGCTGGAAAGAACAATCTTTCTCAACCTTTATAGAGAATAATGCACTCTCTTGGGAGCATCCTTGAATTAAATTGTGATGCCAAATTGAGTAAATCTAGTTTGGAGGGCGGTCCTAGTTGCATCATCATACGCCTTGGAGTCAATTTCAGCAAATGACAGCAGGAAATCTATAGAAAAATAGTAGAAACAGTAGATTTTTTAGGGAATAGTGGTTGATTTCGATTAATAACTCAATATGAAAAAAAAGATACAAGTCTCTTTCAATTAACCTAGAGGTCTTTTTGAAGCCCTCACAGAAGAAACTACAGCAGAAAACTCTATAGAAAATAACCCTAATACAAAATAATAATTCCTATATAAGCCCCTTCCTTCCCTCCAATTTAGTCCTAAAAGATCTATCTTGTCTTAATTAATTCCCACTCTTTTTTGAATTCAAATTTTCTTCATTAATTCCTTCTTTAATCCTCCTAACATATGGAATAATTGGTTTATTAGGCCCCACAAGGCAGGCTGAAAATTCAGCCCCTCCACCCTCTGATGTTGGCCCGCCCTGTAGCTGCTGTCGGTCCTGCTGGATTGGCCGTAACAATACTCCCCTCCAAAAAAATGCACCTTGTCCTTAAGGTGGAATATTAGGAACTGCCTCCTGATTCGTATGATTTCCAAGTGGTATCATGCTCTAACAGGTCCTACTTGATTAGCACCTCTTGTGTCCTATCCCCTCTCTACGTACACCTACTATTTGTAGGGTTCCAACATAACATCCATGTCCTCTGTCAAAATTGGGGGTAGTAATGATGTTGCATGTTCCCCTATTGCCTTCCTTTACTGCGATACATGAAAGAGTGGGTGCACAGTTGAGGATGGTTATAGCCTTAATCGATAGGCTACTTCTCCAATGCGCTCCAAGATCTTATAAGGCCCAAAATACTGTGGGGATAGCTTTTCATTCCTTCTATTGGCTAAGGTTTTTTGTTAGCAGGCCTCAAATTTATGCAAACCATAATCTATTGGGCTCTCAAGTCTCAACAAATGCCCCTTAAGCTCTATTAGTACCCTGTTCCTCTCCTTTAAGTACTTCTCTACACTGGATACTGGTGTATTGTTTCTCCGTAATGAATCAAGTGGGGTGGGTCTCTCCCTTAAAGTATCCTAAAGGGAGTGGTCTTTGTTGCTTAGTGTGGTATGAGGTGTTTTACCAATATTTTGGGTCCTCGGTGCCAAGGTAGTAGAGGTGATATTATAAGGCCCTTCCATGGGGTTGCTCCAGCTGGCCTTCTCCCTCTGATGTTTCTCCTCCACCCTTTGTGCTAGCTCCATCATGTCTCTCAGCCCTCTAGGCCTCAATACCATGAATTCTACCTGTATGTCCTCCCTAAACCACTTCATGAAATTTTCCTTCTATCCTTCCTTAGAGACCCCCTCAGTCTTCCCAACAACACCTCAAATTTCTCCCGACTCCATATCTGTCCCCTCATAAGTTATGGAATATAATTGCTCGTGGATGTCTCATTCCCGAATGGCTAAAAAATGTTCCAACAAGCACTCCTTAAATTATCCCCATCAGTAGACCGGATGCATAGCCTACCTCCATTTGAACCAGGCTAGGGCTTTCCCTTCCAGACATAGACCTAATGCCATGAGTTTTCCCCTTCTGCTAGCCCGTTGATCTCAAGGTAACGTTCCACTTGGTATGCCCAACCTTGGGCATCCTCCCCTTCAAAGATCGACATCTTTAGCTTCCTAAATCTCGCATCCATACCATGAATTCAAATAGGATTGATTGGAGGGATTTCCAAAAAGAACACATCTTAATTAAGAAGAAATTTCAAATTCAAAAACTTGCAAATTTGAATTAGGGAACCTTCCAAATTAACCATGGGTTAAATTTGGCAAGTAGTGAATGCTAGTTTCAATTTTGGATCCAAGGGGAAGGAGGATGGCCGGCAGCTTTATGGAGGTAGTTGGGGCCGGCGGTTGGTTTGGTGGACCTTAGGCTTGGGTATGAAATTTCAGCCAAGGGAGTAGAGGGGGAGGAGGAGAGGCGGCGGCTTGGATTGGGGATGGGAGAGGGATCAGTTAAGGCCATGGCAGGTGGTGGCCGATGACTTGGAGGAGGGAGGAGGAGGTGGCAGCTACGAGAAATAAGGAGGAGACGATGGTAGAGGAGATGGACCATGAGCCCGAATATTTCTTGCAACAAAGGGGTAGTATGTTGCCCTCACCTAAGGATTTCCAACTCTCACAAAAGCTCTCTCAACTCACCAAGACATAAGTGCAGGAAATTTTCATAATAATATTCATCATCCTCCAAAGAAAAGGAGAGGACTATAAATAGCCAAAATATAATAGTAAATCCAGAAGACAAAAGTGCCCTCTGGGGTCACATGAACCTACTCCATCAAGTGAGGGTAAAATTGAAAATGATATAATAATAAATCAAATATAAATAATAACTCAGAAATAAAGTGGTGTAATCATGATCGTAGATCTTCATCATCTTCTTTAATAAAATCTCCAATGTTGAATGCCCTCATCATTCTCTGAGCTGAAAAAGAGCTTGACTTCGTTGAGTACGCATCCTGGTTGCTCTTATAAATCTCTAATGCATCTGGATCAATTCGCTGAAGCTCCTCAAGCTCTAGCCAAGTGTACACTAACTCTGGCTTACCTCTCCACCTTATCAAATACTTTTTTTGTCTGCCCTCTTTTATGGAAATGATGTCATCATGTGGGCTCCGAAAATTGGGCCCCGGCCTCTGCCCGCCTTTTCTTTTTTTTTTTATTCGGCGAGGGAGTTTTAACTGAATAAGTTCCGAGGTAAATTTTGGAAGGAAGATGGGTTTGTAGATAAGACACTACCCAGAGATTTCGCACTCATTTTGCGAGGACTTTATGATCTGAGTTCTGGTTTCCTATAGGCGCAAGCCCCTATAGTTAATTACCCCTCTCAATCATGAGAGAGAACTTTCGATTAAGGCTAGTCGTCAATTAGATACGTAGAATATACGTGTTATCTGGCGTATAGTAGCAGTGATGGATTTAGGTTTGAATTGTTTGGATATTTGGAAAGATTTAATATTTAAAATAGAAATTTCATCATCTTTCACTTAAAGTGGATGGTGGAGGAATGGATGATGGGCCCGATCAAGATCCCATGGTTCCGTCGTCCCGGGCCATCGTGGTCCCTGGTCTACTTAGTCAGAGGAGGTAGTCGACCCAACCTGACAGAAGGATCCTTGTTGGCAGCCATAGGTTGCTTCGTCCAAGGGGACCCCATGGGTTGCTTCGTCCAAGGGGACCTTGTAGACCTGGGGTGAATGTTTGTCTAAGGGGACAAATTTAAATCCACCTTAGCTGACAGAGGGCTTTGTGCTCTATCAATCATATCCTATTGATTCATATCTCAAGGATTTAACGCCATTAAGGAGCATATTGGCTCTGGCCATAATCGCTATCTGTGGTGTCATTTGGCAGCAAAACCACTCGGTTCAGAGGGCCCCAGGTCGTAATCTTTTACCTGCAGTGCCATTTGGCGGCGAAACTGCCGGTTAGAGGACACGTACCACGTCCTTATTGCAAGAGATTGTTTAAGAATGGATCCTAGTAATATTTTCGACTAGGCATTTGGCTCTTTGTGAGCTGAAGTTATATTTTGAATTTATCCACCTCGGCAAACTGTTGCGGAGGGTGGATGGATTTTGCTTTTAGTGATTGATGAATTGATTTTTATTTTAAATCTTTTTTTGGATTTCTGGATTTTTTATATTTTTGAAATTTTCTGGGATTTTGGGTGGAGCTTTGGAGTATTTGAAATGGGCTTTTGGAAGACATTTGAAAGTATTTGGGAACACCTCCGGTTGAGATCTGCATTCAACACGACCATCATCGGGGTGTTCGGGGTCATTACCATTTGTTTGATTGAACCTTGTCGATTCTGTCTGGCTGTCGGCAGAGGATCGGGTTTCGTAGGCTTCGTGCCTTTGTTCATGAGCTTTCTTTGTTGAAGGCATTGAAGGTCGAATATGATTGTATAAGATAAATATTCCGGTCGACTTCATGACCGCATATTTATCCGATAGTTTGAACCTTGTCTACTCCTATTTACATGCTTAGGAGGATCTGGTTTCGTAGGCTTCGTGCCTTTTGTTTAGTGAATTCTTTTGATTGTAGGCTTTGAAGGCCTAATATGAATGTATTAAAATAAATACACTAGTCGCCACAACTATGTATTTGCTTGAGAGTTCGAACCCTGTCGACTTCTATTGATCCGTATAGAAGGATCAGGTTCGAACTTGAATTCACTTATTGACCCGCGCAGCTTCCCTAGACGTCACGTGTGTACCAATAACACGCTCGCCGGGGCCCATGCGGGTATTTGGGGGCATTTTATAATTAAACCCTGTCCACTCCTTTTATCTTCTTCAAAGGATCGGGTAAAAATTTAGTAACCCACGCAGCATCCCTAGACGCCACGTGTGTACCAATAACACGCTCCCCGGGGCTCATGCGGGTTTTGATTACAATTACCCCTTTTAGTGTACCTATGTGTATATAAGCTACGGTGCACGTGCTGGGGTATTTCGGAATATTCATGAAACGCCTTTTGTCTGCTTCGAAGAACGTCGCGGATCCGGTGGCGTGGCGTAGAAGCTTCCGAATAGAGTTGTTTGCTGCTTGGATCATATGTGCTTGCATTCGTTATAATTATTTCATATTTGCTTGCAGACAATATGTTGGATGTACAA